AACGACAACGAGCCCAGCTTCAAGGAAATTGAGCTGGAAGAAAGAATAAGTGAAGCGACAGCCCCGGGATCGCGGTTTCCCTTACCCGAGGCTCAGGACTCTGACTCGGGCCGGAATTCCCTGCAGAGCTACGAGCTGAGCGGCGACGAGCACTTCTCGCTGGCCGTGCAGACGGGCCCCGGCGGCGGTCAGCGTCCCGAGCTGGTGCTGGCCAAGGCGCTGGACCGGGAGGAGGCGGCGTTTCACGAGCTGGTGCTGAGGGCGAGCGACGGCGGCGATCCGGCACGGACGGGCACGGCTCGGATCCGCGTGACAGTGGTGGACGCGAACGACAACGCGCCCGTGTTCAGCCAGGCGGAGTACACGGTGCGTGTGCCCGAGGACGTGCCCGTGGGCTCCACACTTGTCACCGTCACGGCCATTGATACCGACGAAGGGCTGAATGGTCATGTGAAATACTGGTTGAAAAAAGTGTCGGAAATGGCCTCGAATATTTTCCATCTGGACTCTGAGAGTGGAGCGATCACTCTGCTGAGAAGCCTGGACTTCGAGGAAGGCGATGTCCACGAACTGAACCTGCAAGCATATGATGGTGGGGCTCTTTATGATACTGCAAAAGTCGTGATTACTGTCACGGACGTCAACGACAACGCACCTGAGATTTCCATGAGGTCGGCACTAAGGGAGATCTCAGAAGATGCCCCCTCGGGAACTGTCGTCGCCCTTTTGTACGTGCAGGACCGTGACTCGGGGGCGAATGGCGAGGTGCGCTGTTCGATCGACAGAGACGTTCCTTTCCGGCTTCAAAGTTCGCAGGACAATTACTACAGCGTGGTGTTCTCGGCCGCCAGCTGCTGCGACACCCTCCCGGCCCGGCCGCCGCCCGACGAGCCCGCGCCGCTCCTCGGGGACGAGGACCCGGCCGCCGCCCTGCCCGCGTCTTCTGCCCCTCCCTCGGTGAGTTTCTCTGATCACTTTTGTCCGTGACGCTTCCTCCTGCTGCTTCCCTTATGCCCCTGGTGTCTCTGACCTGAGTAGGGAAATATTCTGCCAAGTAAGCCATAGCCCCGGTCGGAGATGTGCTCGTGCTTCTTGCTGCGGGGTGGTGGACCTAGGAGTCGGATCTCAGTGTTGCACTTAATGAGGTTTTTAGGAGAAATCAAGCTCTTCTCTACTGGGGATTCTGTAGGAGTCGGATCTCAGTGTTGCACTTAATGAGGAGGTTTTTAGGAGAAATCAAGCTCTCTACTGGGGATTCTGTGGTTGGGACCTTTTGTATTTGTGAGTCTAGGTTCTTCAATTCCCGTCATCTCGGCAGTATTCGGTCTGCTCTTCTATTGTATTGCTTGGTAAAGAAGTGGAAGTTGGCATTGTTGTGAGTATCAACTGTGTTCTCGACAGCACACGTGGTTGAGGTAGCATGAGAGAACATTTTGCTCCCGTCTAGAAATTTGAAGTTCGCGATAGCATTTTTTGTTTTGTATGCAATCTTTTTTTTCTTTCTTTCTACCCCACCTCTCCGCATCTTTATTTGCATTATTTACTCGTGGATATAGTACCCCCTCATCTTATATTTTTAGATTATTTATTATAATTTAAAACAGAGTACGAACTACACTTAGTATTGATTTTTAACTGCAGCACTTTTCTCTAGTCTGTGTTTGGTCTACTTAATTATCACTCTCTCCATATTCCTTTTATGTAAATAGTATTTAGGATATATGTAAGCCATTGTTTGAAATTGAACGTGGACCCATATTTGCCTGCTTTGTTTTGTGTTTGTTACATTTCTGACTTTTGAAAGGGCCTCATTGAGTGTTTCTCATCCAGTAGTTGCAGCAATGTCAACTTTGTGTAGCATTCTGTTTTTTCCAGGAGACCATTCCCAGGCATTTTTTGAGTTTGCTTGCGGGAATTTCTTTGGTTGAGTAAATAGTGTGCTTCATGCTTGGGAATAAGCAGAGATGGTGGAAGAGTAGCACAAACTGCTTTTTGCTAATATTGTAAATATGAATTATATATGTTAGCACTGGTTTTTCACCTTGGGCGTCATCACTGTGCTCCTGCAAAGATGGAGTTGAAGAACTGGATGTTCCCAGACAGAAGGTTCAGATTAGAGATCATAAGCCTCTTGCTATGCCTTCAAACTACGGGTAATATCTAGAAATTAGAGTGTATTGTGGAGATTTCTGCTGAGATGTGTTACAGGCGGCACGGCATGGCAAGGAAAGTCGAGATACGCTTGTGTGAATGGTTGTTCGTTTGTGCTTTTTACATCGCCTTAAGTCTTCTTTTGTGTTGTTCTCTCTCGTGTAGCAGCACTGGACCTTTCCATGCCAAGTGTTTAAAGTCGATGCAATGTAGGAGGAAGAGTGTTATGTATATTCTTAATGCATCACTGGTTATATATGTTGTTTATGCTTTCTGTGGTCCTTAGCAGCCGGTGAGCACAATCCAGAGTTACTGCCCCTGGAATGATTTTGTGAGAATTACCCGATTGTTCATGAGAAGCATCTTCTGCAAAACCAAAATTTATTTCTGAAGGATTGTTGCTGTTCTATGGGCAATTTTTTTCTATTTTACTCTTCGCCATTGTGCCTTTTTCAGAGAGATGGTGCTGTAGCCGAGGGTGCAGCGACAGCAGGTCCTAATGTGCCAAAGTTCATTTGCCAATGCTCATTTCTTGATCACAGCATTGCTCACAGGTTTGGACTCTTAGACATGCACAGATATTTTCATTGTGAACTGTTTATTGGTTGAAGGTTTTTCCAAAAGTCAGTCATCTGTTTTTGTATTTATTGTAGCTGTCATACAACACAGAGTGTTCACTTAATGCTAATTATTTGAAAGCTTGAAAGCAGTGTCTAATTTATGTAATACAACAAAGAGTGAGGAAGGGTGAGATTCTACTTAAAATACTTTCTCAGTATTCTTCTTCTGAAGCCAGAGTGTGGCTGCTTCTTGTTGCAGAGGAAGAGCCTGTTGTCACAGCAATGCTGAGGCCGAGTGATCATTTCCTAACAACTGCTACAGCAGAAGAAGAGATAAAACCTGAGTCTTGTAGTTTCTGTCTTTGTTTCTTCTGAGACAGTGGCAAGAGTGGCATGACTGGGAACTGAGTTATCACCAGGACATTGTGAATGAGCACAGTAACAATTCAGGGAGTTATTTATTGAGCAATAGGAGTGTTAGTAAAATCTGCTGTACCTGTAGTTTCCCAAAACTTGGTTTGGGTAGTGCTTGGAATGGTTCAGCTGATGATAACATGCCCTGCTTTCTACAAGGTCATGAAACAAGAGCTGTTGGCTTGTGGAGAGTTTTGTATTTCGTGATTTCCTTTGGTTGTTGCAGAGAGGTGGTGTCAGCACAAACAGGCACCGAGGTGGATCAAGTGTTTTTTTCATAGGCATTGCTCTCAAGAGTGTTTCATAATTTCTGTTTTCAGACCATCCCACGCTGGGAGCGTTCAGTGTTTTATCATGGCAAAGGACATGTTTGAGCTGCAGCAAACTGCCTTCTCTAGTTGTGCCCTTGTGAGATTCCTTCTTCTGACTTTTTTTTTTTTTTTTTTTTTTTTTTTTTTTTTTTTTTTTTTTTTTTTTTTTTTTTTTTTTTTTTTTTTGGGGGTTTTTTTTC